AATGATGAACAAATTGAATTACTTCAACCTAATTTTCGTGTACCTGATTATACATATGAAGGTGCTAAAGTAGCTGCTGGTGCTATTGCTGGTTTATTGACATGGACACGGGCTATGGCAGATTTTTTCTATGTTAATAAACGTGTTTTACCATTAAAAGCAAATTTAGCTAGACAAGAAGCTCGATTAGTTAAAGCTAATGCACAATTAGAAACAGCACAAGCTGAACTTGATCGACGTGAAGCGGAAGTAGCTGCAGCACAAGCTGAATATGATGCTGCTCAGGCAATAAAACAACGTTTACAAGATGATCTTGATCGAACATTAAAACGAATGAATGCAGCTAGAGAATTAATAAGTGGTTTAGCTGATGAACAAGAACGATGGACTGAAGAAAGTAAACAATTTAAAGAACAAATCGGACGGTAATAAAAACAAGAAATAGTTAACTAATATCTTCTTCATTTCATTATATATTAGGTTGGTTGGTGATGTTCTATTTTGTACTGGTTTTCTTTCATATCAAGGTCCATTTAATCAAGATTTTCGTTTATTATTAACAAAAGATTGGCAAAAATTATTAACTGAACGAAATATTCCATTTTCACGTGGATTAAATGTAACAGAATATTTAACTGATGTAACTATTGTTGGTGAATGGAAATTACAAGGTTTACCAAATGATGAATTATCTATTCAAAATGCAATTATTGTCACACGTGCTAAACGTTATCCATTATTAATTGATCCACAAGGACAAGGAAAATTTTGGATTAAAAACAAAGAAGCATTGAATGATTTACAATCAACAAATCTTTTATCCAAACATTTTCGACAACATTTAGAAGATTGTTTATCACTTGGTCGTCCATTAATAATTGAAGATGTTGGAGAAGAACTTGATCCAGCATTAGATAATGTTTTAGAAAAAAATTTTATTCGTTCAGGTTCAACATTAAAAGTTAAAGTTGGTGATAAAGAAGTTGATGTCTTAAAGGGTTTTAATTTATATATAACAACAAAATTAGCTAATCCAGCATTTACACCTGAAATATCAGCTAAAACATCAGTTATTGATTTTACAGTTACAATTAAAGGTTTAGAAGATCAATTATTAGGTTTAACTATATTGAAAGAAAAAGCTGAATTAGAAGCTGAACGTGTTAAAATGTTAGAAGATATTCAAGCAAATAATAAACGTATGAAAGAACTTGAAGATAATTTATTAATGCGATTAAGTAATTCAAAAGTTAGTATTAAACAAAAATTTCTTTTTTTTGTTATATTCATTATTGTCTCCTGTGTATTAGGGTTCATTAGTTGATGATGATGATCTAATTCGTACATTAAAAACTACAAAAATAACTTCAAGTGATGTTAAACAAAAACTTCAAATAGCAACTGAAACAAGTCAAAAAATCAATATTGCTCGAGAAGAATATCGTCCAGTTGCAACACGTGGTTCAATTATTTATTTTCTTATTGTTGAAATGTCACTTGTTAATGTTATGTATCAAACATCATTAAAACAATTTTTACAATTATTTGATCTAGCACTTGAACGTTCACCACGAGTAAATTTCTCTCTCTTTCTCTCTTAATTATTTATAGTATCAAACTTTTTTTCTTTAGTCACCAGTTACATCGAAACGTATTACAAATATAATGGAATTTTTAACATTTGAAATGTTTAAATATGCTGTTCGTGGTTATTATGAAGAACATAAATTTATGTTTACACTTCTATTAGCATTAAAAGTTGATTTACAAGCAGGTAAAATTAAATATGATGAATTTCAAACATTAATTAAAGGTGGTGCATCAATTGATGCAAGTACAGGTATGATTTAAATTTCTTTTTATTATACATATATATGAACTGTGGTTTTTTTAATTTAAAGCACCACCAAAACCAGCTTATAAATGGTTACAAAATGATATTTGGTTAAATCTTGTTGAATTATCAAAACTTTTTCAATTTAGTGATATTTTAAATTCTGTAAAGTATTTAATTCGATTATTTTCATTGATTAACTTTCGTTTTATTTAGCTTAATCGTTCGGGACCAGCATGGGATACATGGTTTAAGGTAAATAAAAATAATAGTTATTAGTTGAATTAAAATTAATTGAAATTTTTTAGAAAGACGAACCAGAACGTGCTGAATTACCTGATAGTTGGGATTCATTATTGGATAAATTTCGTCGTCTTCTTTTAATTCGTTCGATTACACCAGCGCGATTTGTTAAATCTGCAAATGATTATATAATCGATTCATTAGGACCAAGATATGGTGATGGTGTTGTACTTGATATGGAAAAAATGTGGGATGAATCAGATAAATGTTCACCAATGATATGTTTTTTATCTATGGGTTCAGATCCAACTGTACAAATAGAAACATTAGCAAAAAAGAAATCAATTGATTGTAATGCAATATCAATGGGACAAGGACAAGAAGTTCATGCACGAAGATTATTATCTCTAGCTTATTCAAGTGGAGGATGGGTATTATTACAAAATTGTCATTTATCATTGGATTTTTGTGAAGAATTTTTATTACAATTAACAGAAAATACTGATCGTATACATCCAGATTTTCGTCTTTGGATAACAACAGAAGTTCATCCGAAATTTCCTATTGGTCTTTTACAAATATCAATAAAATATACAGCTGAACCACCACAAGGTGTTAAAGCTGGTTTAAAACGAACATTTGCTGGTTTAACACAAGAACAACAATTAGAATCTAATACACATGAAAAATGGCGTCCACTATTATATGCTGTTGCATTTCTACATACAACTGTACAAGAACGAAGAAAGTTTGGTCCACTTGGCTGGAATATACCATATGAATTCAATCAATCAGATTTTAATGCTACAGTTCAATTTATTCAAAATTATCTTGATGAAATGGATTCAGCTAAAGTAATTTTATCTATATCTATTTACAGAAATGTTCATTTATTTTTGTTGTAGCAAATGCAATGGAAAACAATTCATTATATGATATCTGAAGTACAATATGGAGGTAAAAAAAATATTATTTAATTTGAAAATAGAAATAGATATGTTTTTTAATATTTAGGTCGTGTAACGGATGATTTTGACAAACGTCTTCTTAAAACATATGTTAAATGTTGGTTTCGAGATGAAATGTTTGAACCATCATTTTATTTTGAAGACAAAACTTATCGTATACCGAGAATGACTCGAATTGAAGATGTTTTTGATTATATTGATACAATACCAAACTATGACAGTGGCAAAGTTTTTGGTTTAAGTCCATTAGCTAACGACAGGTTCGTGAAAATAATATATAAAAAAATGTTCATTCCCGCAAAAAATTGACTTGGAAACATAATTATTCGATATTGATTTTCTATATTTCAATATTGAAAAGATCTTAGAGTAAATGAGACTTGTTCATTGTTACTCAAATATATATAAAAGATACAATCATGATACTATACATATAATAAATTTCTGAATTATCGTTAAAATTTTATTCAAGATCTTTTTAATTAATACATTTTATAGTAACAAATAACTGTTATTTTTTTACATATCATAACATAATTGAGGAATAAGTAAACTATTACAAAGATGTTTGTCCTTACTTTGATGGATAGCCATATTATTGCATAGTATAAACATACTCAAAATGTTTTTATGACCTTGATTTATTTTTCTATTAATTAATTCTTCGATTAGATAGATAATATTTGATTTTATCTAATTTAGATATCAAGAAGATACAACAAGAAAAGTTCTTGATACAATATTAAGTATTCAACCGAAAGAAGCTCGTGGTGGTGCTGGTGAAACACGTGAAGCTGTTATATATCGTTTAGCAACTGAAACATTAGAAAAATTACCACCGGATTATATTGCACATGAAGTAAAAGAACGTCTTTCAAAATTAGAACCAATGAATATTTTTCTACGACAAGAAATTGATCGTTTTCAACGTGTACTTAATGCTGTACGACGTACATTAATTGATTTAAAATTAGCTATTGATGGTACAATTGTTATGAATGAAGAATTACGTGATGCACTTGATCGTATGTATGATGCAAAAATTCCAAGTATTTGGTTAAAATTATCATGGGAATCATCAACATTAGGCGCTTGGTTTACTGATTTATATGCACGTAATGAACAATATCGTTCATGGTTAAAACTTGATAAAGATACAAGACCACTTGCTTTTTGGATGACAGGATTTTTTAATCCACAAGGATTCTTAACAGCAATGCGACAAGTAAAAAAAATATATATATAAATAAACTTTTCTTTTTCTCAATATCTTTTTTTTTATTTTATATTTTTCTTAGGAAGTAACAAGAGCAAATCAAGGTTGGTCACTTGATAATGTTGTTTTAACAAATAAAGTTACACGAATGGATCGTGATGCATTGAAAGATCCACCACGTGAAGGTCTTTATGTTTATGGTTTATATATTGAAGGAGCAAAAATAAAAAATGGTGTTTTGGATGAATTAAAAGCTAATGAAAAAGTTTTAACACATCCAATGCCTATTATACATATATCAGCTGAAGCAGATTTTGGTACAGGTATGACACCCACAAAACAAGATCGTCGTCCAACTTATTATGCACCTGTTTATAAAAAACCGCGTCGAACAGATAGAAACTATGTGTGTACACTTAAATTAGAATGTCCACCAGGTGATAAAGCTGGACCTGATGTTTGGACATTGAGAGGTGTTGCACTTCTTTGTGATACGAAGTAAACATTGTTTTTTCTTTTCTTTCTCTCTTTTTTGTATAATAAAATTATTTTAATCTTTACAACTGTTGTTTTTTTTGCAGCTTTGTTTATTTCATTTTTCTTTCAAAAGAATTAAAGATTTTTATTAGCATGAATATATTTATTTCTCAGTTACTAGAACAATAAAGAGGACAAATGAAACAAGCAGTTATGAGTTCATGAATTTGTTTTTAATTAATTGTTTGTATTTCTTCATAAATCAAACATGTATAATGGTAACAATTGCCATCATGATTGATAAAATTTTAATTAAATTTGTATCATGATTTAATGATGCTTTACTAGGTTTAGGTTTAGTAGTAGTATCAGCATTACCAGTAGTAGTAGCACCACCACCAGCAGCACTATTATTATTAACAGGAGTAGTACCAGCAGGATTGTTGATGCCAGTTGTTGTGGTAACTTGACGCATCATAGTTATTTTGCAATCAGAATTGCCTTTCGTCTGAAAATATTTAAAAGTAATAATAATGTTATTTGATGAAAAAAAAGTATTAGTCAAAACTAAGTATTAAGTAAGAAAATAATCGATATATTAATATTCATTTAATATACATCTAAACAGAATCAATTTTTCTTGTAATAACAAAAACAATGATTCTTTGGTATTAGAAAATTTGTAAAACTAATTTCTATCAAAATATATTAAAAATACTAATACCTCAACCAAAGATACGTCCAAATTGGTAAGCGTAGTATCGAACGACAATACTCCCACCAATGCCAGATCGGTTGAATTAGCGTTCAAATCTGATACCGTGAATTGTCTAGTATCATTTGCATTGCATTTTCCACCGGTAGCTTCTAAGCTGCCTGTAGTAGAAGCACCCGTATTGCCGATGGTCAAGTCACTTGATGGACAACAACATTTGACCAGATCACACGATCCTGGATCTTTAAATGTACCAATCCATTTGTTACCTATGTATTTTATAGATTAATAACTATAATATGTATGTATATGTTATTCAATCTCACCTTCACAACTTGGTACGATCATTGTTGATATGAGACCAAAGACGAGAATAAGAAGCATTATTTGTTAAATAAATACTGTATTTAATAATTGTGAATGTATGTGATAATGATGAGAAGAATGAAATAGTGATTTGATTTTGTTAATCTAACACGCGCCTTTACTAGATCTCTAATGAGTTTTATTAGTCCCAAAAACGAATAAATGTATAATTTAACAAGAAAAAGCGCCTATGAATTTGTATTTCTAGATAATCATTATCATTTTAATTAAAATAGATAAAAGATAACATTTAAAGTCTTGATTTATAAATAACATTGATATCATTGATATCATAATTTTGAATCAACATTTTATTTCGATTATCGCTTTTGTCAATTCAATTAATTAATAAAAACTACATATTTCATGTACTTGTTTTATACTTCTGTTCTAATTCATAGATCTATCATCACATACATATACACTTGCAAAAAAAGAACTAACTTCACTGTTAGATACTGAGATCTATATTCTTATGAAACGTATTTCCATCGTTTCTCATCAATAGATTATCTAAAGTGTCACCTATTGTAAATCAATGAGAGAGTACAAACAGAATTGTATTCAGCATGCTCATTGACAATTTTTTAATTCATAAATATAGATCAATATGTATATGATTATATGACTATCTTAATAAGCAAATTGCCATAATCATCTTTTTTCCCCTAATCCCAGTTATACATATATATGTATTTGTACAGACATCAATGTTGTAACCGAGAACAGCAGTATATTATGCTTAACTCCTACTGTCTGCTATCGATTTTCTTCTTTCTTCTATTTATTCTCGATTTTGTATGGATATGGATATGTCGAGATACAAGGCTAGCATTGATTCTCTCCTGAGAAAATAATGTCAAGGTTATTCTCAGTTATTCTGCTTATTAATATCGTTGTGTTTTTGCCCAAGAAAACGAAGAAAAGTCAAGTATTCAATTCATTTTTTTATTCATAGATAGATAGATAGATATATATAAATACAATGACATCTTCTTCAGTTATACCAATAATTAATGATAAAAATCGACTTTCAAAAGCATTAAATCGTTATTCAATACATGATTATGGACAAGGTCATCGAATATATTCATATGAATTTGATTTAATCGATTATGAACCCGAACAAATAACTGTTCTACTTGATGATAATGGTCGATTACGTATACGTGCTTGTCGTTCACCATGTCAAGAATTTCGACGTGAATATAATCTTGGTGGACCAAATATTGAAACTAAACTTGTACGAAATACAATTGATACTTATGGACATCTTCGTGTTGATGTAGAAGCTTATCCACGTCAATACAATGCATCAACACTAGATAATACTATTCTTACATTTGATTTACAAGGTTATCGACCGAAAAATATAACTGTTAGAATAAATGAACATGGTTTATTAAAAGTTACTGCACAACATACGGATGATACAATTGGACACCGTATTAATAAAGAATATTATCGTCAATATCAATTACCAAAAAATATTAATCGTGATCAAATACGTGCAAAATTAGATGAAAATCAAATATTAACTATTGAATTACCAGAATCATTACATAAGCGAAATCATACTTGGCAACCTTATCATGAGAAAAATATTTTACCTGGCTCTGGAAATTCTCGTTGTTGTAATATAATGTAATAGAATAATAATGATTTTTAGTTTTTTTCACAAAACAAAAAAAAAAGATTTATTCTTTTTGTAGTATAATTTGAATATTGTTAATATAATATAGAAAATAATTATTATATATTTAATTAGTTTTAGAAATAGATATAACAATAATAAATTAAGAATATCTTTCTATTGTTTTAAATCTATTAAAATATTATATTCACATAGATCAATTTCGAAATTCACAAATAATATGTATGAAAGATTTCTATCATAAAAAAGTTATTTATTCAGCTGAAATTAGTAGTTCTAATTGTAATTCTCTGAAAAAATATTAAATCCATTTATTAAATAGAAATCTGATAACAATATAGACGGAAAATTCATCATTCGTATATTACTTAAAAATAAGAATAATTGTATGTAAGAGAAAATTTTGTGTTGATAAATGAAAGTATAACGGTTGACTTCTAGTGTCTTATCGATCAAACTATCTTTTATCGATCCATCAATCTATCGATCGTATCTCATAAAAAAAACGTTCTAAGATATCATCAGCAATGGGAAAAGCAACACTTTGTAAAAATATAAGCGACGAAGCCTGATGTAAAAAAAACTGATGCCAATCACAAAAACTAACGACATCTTTAATCAATTTTTATTTTACGAAAATTTAAATTCAACTTCAATAAATATCGAATGAGATTCTTTAATTTTAAAAAACTAATATTTAGAAAACTTTGCATCAAATGTCCAATAGATGTCATCTTATAATCAAGAAATTAAAAAAAATAGAAATGATACAATTGAACGATTGACACCGTACGAATTTACTGTATTGTGATTAGTCAAATATTCTCTACACACAAAGAACAATTTTCTTCTAAAAAAAAACGAATAATTTCTATTTTCATGTGACAAGGTATATATATATATGTATATATATGATTTCGTCATCTATGTCTTCATCGACGAATGCATATTCAGCCATCACCATATACATTTCCTGTAGCATCATCGAATATTGTGCAAATAATGCATCCACCAGTATTAACAGGATCGAATAATAATACAATACGTCTATCACAAGACCATCGTACACGCCTTTATCAAATAATAAATGAATTAAATGATGATCAATTACGTCTATTTCTTACAAATCATTTACAATCTATATCAAATACAACAGCGAATAATCAATTTCAACACTATTCACGTACACAATTAATTCAACAATCATACATTCTTATTGATAATTATTACTCAGTTGATCTTGAACAAACACTCTATACAATGAGACAAAAACGTTTTCCAAATGATTATCAACAAAATTATCGTGCACAACAGCAGCAGCAACAGCAACAACAACAACAAAACTATTCTACATCATACAATCAACAACAGCAAGCACAACAACCCTATTATTATACTCAACAAGCAATACAATATAATATACAACCTAATTTTCGTTTTCCAGCACCAACACCAGCAAATGTGTCACAGCAATTGCGACAAAGTAAAAAGTTTTATTTTAAACTAGGATATTTCAGATATTTATAAGACGAGCAAATATAAAAGACTAAAGCATAAGAGTTGTACTTTTGCTAATCGATTAGACATATTGACAAAGTTTCTATACTAATTTCAATCACCAAATTCATCACTTTTCTAAATTTTAAATTGGTAATTATTCGAAACTAAGATTTTAACTATTAGACAGAAAAAAAGCATTAATTTTCGTAAATAATTTTGATCAGATATAAAATCAAGAACATCGATACTTGTCTAGTAAAATGATTCAAATATTCTATACAATATCTGCAATGAATTTCCGAGTACTTATCAACAATTAAAAGTATCTCATATTTTTTAATAGTGACTATGAAACATACAGAACAGAATGATTGCTAATGAAATAGACTCGATAAACTAGTTCTGATATATTTTGAATCGAAAGCAAATATTTCTTACATTTAAAGTTGATTAATATCTTGTTCAGAATTATGAATACTGATCTAAAACATCAAGTCATAACGGTAACTTATTATGCTATTGCTTCTATTATCAAAAATTCTTGATTAACATTACACTGCTTATGAAACATTTTCTATCACGTTTTATCTTTATCTTACAGAATTCAACCAATATATTTTATTCTATGAAAAACTTCTTAATGATATAAAATATATTGATTCATATTTATTCTATTGAAACAAAAATCATTTAACATTGTTTTTTTTCTGTGAATCTTTAGTTCGACCAACTCCAACATCTAGTCAATCTACAAATGCTCACACTCATCATGCACAAAATTCTCGTCCTCAACAACAACAGCAGCAACAACAACAGCAACAGCAAGCTTCATATTTTCCTTCCCTTGTACCTCGTCAATCATATGTTCGACATCCTTCAACATCATCAACTTCTACAAATGGTTCATCATCTACTATTCCTCGATATCATGTTCCAATTTTACCACCACCAGCAGCACCAGCACCGCCACTACCACCAGCTGTAACAAGAACAAATCCTCCGCCTCCATCTCCATTAAATATTGTTCATAAAACTTTACCATTCTATCGTCCAGTAGTATGTGTTTATGAATGTCATCATGTATTTCGTTATGATACATATCGTAAACAACATTTTGCTCGATGTGATTTTCTCCTATCACTTGATGCATGCAATCAATTAGCTTTATCATATGATTATGATTCTGATCTTGATTTACATAAAACAACAAAATGTTTAATTATGCGTCTTGCACGTATTGATCAACCACCTACGCTAAATGGTAAATATGATGATAATCTTCCACCAAATTTTGTTGTTAATATCAATTCACAAAATTATACAACTTTACCAACACCAAAACCTTGTACACGACAACAAACAGATTTAGTTCGTATTGGACGTGAAATTGATATAACATCCTATTGTATGTTTAATCCAATATTAAAAAATGAATTATCAATGATATGGTCATATCGTTCAGATAATACTATTTTACATACACAATATGCAAATGCACAATATGCATTACATATATTTCTTGTTGAACATTTAACAATTGAGGATTTATGTGAACAAATAAAAAATAAAACAACAAGATTTTATCGAGAAGATTTGGCGAAATTATTAGCTAAAGCTTTAGCTACTGATCAAGATTTAGGTTTAGAAGTTAGTGATCAAAAATTAAAATTAAAATGTCCAATTGATCAAAGACGATTAAAAACACCAATAAGAGCAATTACTTGTTATCATATACAATGTTTTGATTTAACGAATTATATTGGTATAAAAATTTTGTTTTACATACATATTGTAGTTTCTTTCGTTAGTGATGAAACCTTATGACTTAGGAAGATTTATACATCTGAATACTTTAGATTAATAATAATTCATTTTTTTTTGTCAAAAATTGAAGCTAGTCGTTGTTAGTGATATGAAAGAATACAGGAAAAAAAGTTCTATAGATCAGTGTGAAATTATAAGGTAGTTCTAATTAGTGCAAATCCTTTTCAAGAGAACTTTCTATTAACAATTACGCATGTTCAATATTCTGCTATAGATATAACTAATAGGAGAAAATTTTTCAGTTATTTTTTCATAAGAGCAGAGTGTTATGTATGGATTAATTTTTATTTCATATCAGCTCAAAAAGTTGATATTTTTCAAAAGGTCAATTTTGTAAAGATCGAAAAATAATTATTCTTTATTTTGAATAACGAATTGACTATGTCAATAATAGGGTTATCATTGGCTAAGAAAATACCCACTTTATTTCTCTATAAACACGATGTTCTTTTGACCTCAAAGAATATATCTATTTGCTACTTAATATATGAACTATTGAATTCTTACTATATAAAAAGAAAAATACTTCAATTTTTCTTCCATTATCTGTAATGGAAAAAGACTCAATAGTTTCCAATAGTCGTACAAGGATATTTCTTAGTAAACTTTGCCTCTTTTTTTTTGTAAGGAAGTATCTATGTAAACTCAAAATTCGATAGATAAATGACATTATTAACAACTATCTTTAACTTGATTTTATACAAACTGAAGTTTCTGTTATATTTATAATTTATTTTCTTTTAGCATTAAATGAAAAAGCTGGTAAATGGATATGTCCTGTGTGCAATAAACCTGCATTATTTGATGATTTACAAATTGATTCATATACTGACTCAATATTAAATTCGATTGAAAACGAAAATATAACTGAAATAACTATTGATAGTAATTTACATTGGAAACCTTTCATATCATCAACATCATCATCTCTACTTATTGAACAACAAAATCAGATATCGTCAAATACTCATGATATTATTTTAGATGATGATCAAATGGATGATGATCAGTATAATCATCAGAAACAACAACAATTTGATTCAAAATCAAATATTCAACTAATGCCAACATTGGCACATGAACCGTCTGATATTATTCTTATTGATGATTAACTCATACATCTTTTCTTTTCTTTTCTCGTTTTTTTTGCTTATGATAGAAAGATAAAAACAAAGCTATTGTATATTTGTTTAATCATGAAAAAATTACATAATTTCTGTTGTTTTCAGATCATGAATAATCTAACAGATGAACAACATTATCAACATTTACAATCATTACCTATTAATGATTTACAAACATTATTAACATTTGCTGGACAATCCAGAACTGGTAAAAGACAAGAATTAATTGATCGTTGTCATGTATTAATTAAATCATCAATAACAATAAGAGAAAAATGTGAAGAATTACATAATAAACGTCATGGACTAGGTGAAAAACAAACAATACCTTATCCTAGAGATTCAACAAATACATTGAGAACAACACATCATCAAATGCATTCAAATCAACATCAAAATATTGATATACGTTTTGCACCATTTACATTTAATGAAGATCTATGTGTTATTTCAACTCCACATACAGTTGCATCATCTAAACAATCATCAAATGCACCACAATCATTGGTTAATTTTTATTTCTTATTATCAGCACAACAAGCATCAGGTTTGTAAAAAGAATTAATTAAATAATGATCAGTATATTCAATGACTTGATAAAGATATAAAGAGTTGTTTGCATCGTTCGAATATACTGTAGGTTTTTACTCAACCGTCTAAATTCCTAAACCGAAAACATGAGTTACTCAAATACGCTGTTTACTTTTGTAAAATTTCATATTAATTAAAATATTCATAAATACTTACAATTTCTTACTATTAGTTTTGTGAAAATCGAAAAGCATTGCATTTTTTGGTCAATATATTGTTTGTAGTAGATAAATACATTCAAGTTTTTGTTTTTCTTCTGATTCTACAAAATGATAGACTGCTCCCTCATCTCATTTTAGAATTATGTATGATAAATCTTTTATATTATAGATGTTGCAACATCAACATTTTTCAATTCTGATCAATCAAAAGTTGAATATCGAAAACAAATATTATTAAGATTTACAACAATTGGTGGTGATTCAATGAATAATGGTATTAATGCTCCAGATAAATTACCACCAAATCTATATGTTATTGTTAATAATCGAGTAGTTCCATTACCACAACCAAAACCAACAGCAAAACCAAATTCAGATGTTATTCGACCAGGTACTATTCATTTTCGAACAATTAATATCATTCTTTTATAATTATGTTATAGGTCGTCCAATCGATATAACAGAATATTGTCGTTTATGTCCTTTAATATCTAATCTAATTGAAATATCATGGTTTACTCAAGATTTAACAGTTCCAGCTCCAACATATGTTGCTGCTGTTGTTCTAACTGAACGTAAAACAGTTCCACAATTATTAGCTCGTCTTAATCGTCCATCAGCAGTTCGTCCATCTATTGAAACTCAACGTACAATAACACAAATTTTATCAGCTCCACAAACTCCTCAAGGAACTGATAATGATCTTGAAGTTGCATCAACATCACTTCGTTTACCACTTGAATGTCCAGCAATGCGTATTCGAATGAGAATGCCTGGAAGAGCAATAACATGTAAACATGTGCACTGTTTTGATTTAGAAGGTTATTTACGTATGAATGAAAAAAAACCAAGTAAATAGATTATATTCGTTTTTTCTTTTTAATTTTTTTTCGTTTATTTTATTTTAAGCTTGGCTTTGTCCTGTCTGTAATAAACCAGCACTATATACAGATTTATTTGTTGATCAATTTTTTATTGATGTTATTGGCAAATGTCCAACGGATACTAAAGCTATTGAGTATGAACCAAATGGACAATGGAAAGCTTGTGGAGAAGAGAAACAATCGAGACGAGCACAACGTGAAAAAGAAGCATTTAAAGCAGCACTAGCAGCAAAAAATACCAATGGAAAATCAATGGCAGATAATGATAATTCACCTACTGAAGATTCTGATGATGAACGATCACGTACAAGTAAATTAAAATTAAAAAATAAAAAACAAAACTAATAGATTTCTTCTTTCTCTTTTTCTTTGAAAAATTAGAATCAATCGAACGTTCAACTGCACCAGCAGCTCAAGATGACATTCCTATTATCGAACTAGATGATGATTAATATTTGTAATCTATTTTTTTTTATTCTCTATCTCTTGCGCGGTTTCTGTGTAAAATTGAAACAATAAATTATACACATATATTAATACATATTGAAAAAAAAACGATGCATGCTTTGTCTTTAAACACTGCCTACGGCTCGTAATGGAATATCGCGTCGATGGTTCGCAGTTTCAGATTCTCTATGAACACGTCGTTGAGAGCTTCTATAACATACATATACACCAGCAATACCACCAATTAATGCAATACCTCCCATAGCACCTGCGAGACCACCAATAATTTTCCACGTCGGATTTGGTGGTGCTAAAAAGAGATGAATTAGAATAAAATAGAATAAGTCAAACTCATACGTATTGGTGTTGTATATACTGGTTCAGTCGTTGTTGTAGTTGTCGTTGCTTTAAAAAAGATTTATTTAGAAAATTCTTATTAAACTAAATTTAAAATTAGATACTTGTTGTTGTACTTCTTGTTGTTGTAGTTCTTGGTATTGTAGTTGTTGGTATACCTGGTGTTGTAGTTGTAATAATAGTGGTAGTTGTTATTGTTGTTGTTGTTGTTATTGTTGTTGTTGTAACTATTGGTGTAGTTGTGGTTGCTTCAGTGCTAATTATAGTAGGTGCTTCTGTAGTGATCACTTCGACAATAACTCCATTTGTTGTTACACTTTCCTCTGTAGTGGAAGGCTTTAAATATAATAAGACAATGATTCATCTTTAAACTATAAGAAGTTTTTATCTTATATTTATTTGAATGCAACATTTTTAAGAATGTAAGACAATCGTAATAGAAGTTATCTATTCGGAAACTTTAATTATAGTACAAAACAAGATATTTTATTCAAGACTTATTAATTTATAGACAATTATGTTCGTTATCTATACTCGATTTTTTATTTTTGTAGACGAAAGAATTTAATATAATAAACAGCACATTCCGTTCGCATTTTATTACTCGAGTAAAAATAAAAAATTAATATTTTAAGTAAACTATTCCATTAGTTATAAATATAGAATTTATAATCACATAATTTAATAGAAAAGTCTTGAATATTCTTTATTCTCTACAAAACATAATAATTTTTAGTCAATCGAGAATTTTTACTTACATCTTCTTGACTTTGCGCATGTAATATAACAAATCCCACTAGAACAAATGACATTATTAAATTATTATTTATATTTATTTTAAATACGTACAGAATAGAATTGATGAAAAAGAATAGATCTTCATTGATTCAACTACTAGATGTATATTTTTAAAATAATAACAAGAATGTGTTTGCATCACATTTTCAGTATATTGATAAGATAACAAAAGAAAATATATTACTAAGAGAAAGGTATGATAATGGCTCGAGAAAAGCAAACAGTCATGTCGATCTTGACTACCGTATATAAATATCAGTTGATACATTTTAATGATTTATATTTTCTGTTCCATATATTATAATTCTAAAGCATTATTTGGAAAAATCATGAACAGTTTCTTCAATAATAATGAAAGACTATTTTCCAATGAATAAACTAATATCAAAGAAAAATTAGATGTACTCAAAATCCTAGAAAATTTTAAATTTTCATTCAATTGAATAACACTCAGCATTGGAGAACATTTCCAAGATTGTTTCAAGAAAAGCATGCAGTGATAAATTCAACCTTGAACAAAAGTAAAATTGTGTAATAACAAGATACTCGACGTCAAAATATCCAACGGCAGGTTTACCGGAGAAAAAAGAATAATAAAACATTAAAATAATGAAAAATTTTTAAGAAAGTTTGATAGAACAGATCTATTTGCAAATATAGGTTAAGTAATAATTACAGCATTTATTATATACGTTGAAACACTATCTGTCTGTTTTTCTGATTATCTAAGTGAAAATAAAGTGACCTATAAATAAGAGCTCATCTTTTATTCTTGTAAGAATCAGGAAAACTAATATTTATTCACAAGAAATTTGAGAAATAACAAGTTCTCTTCATTGCAAAGATAATTGAATCAAAACATCCCTTGTTCTGTTCTATTGAACAGCATCGCTTTGTCACAAACACTTAACTTCGAGGGTAGTGTCAAATAATGATCTATTAAAAGTTTAAGAATAACAAGAATCTATGATGGCTATCTTCGAATAATCTATCTTAAATTTATGAGTATCAAAACATTTCGCCTTGATATTTGACATAAGTATGTTTTTAATATAAACAAATATACAAATTAATATGATTACAATCAGTCAATCTTTCGTAATATTATCAAACAAAATGTCATCATTGTATAATCAGTTATAAGACATCAAAAAAGTAGTCTTATTCATCAAATATGTTGTAACTAAAAAATTTAGATATAACCAATAGTTATTCTTACGATCAGATAATCTTGTCACTCATGCAATGACTTTTTCCAGGTCATAGAAATATCTATTTTTTGATTATATATATTAAACAAATGAAACATTTTCCTCATGGTTACAGGAAGACATTCTAATCAATAATCTTTGATGAATGACAGTTGGTTCTAATAAGACATTTTTTCACCCACACATATATATATATCTTTCATCACCATGTGTAAAAACTATTAAGACTAATGTTCATCAAACAAATGATGTCATAGAGATCAATGGTAGTAGTACGAATATGATCGATGATAGTATGTAAATCATATTGGTGATAAAATTTTTGTTCTATTCATAAGATTTCCGTTCTGGGTTTTTTTCTTTTTGTTCCTGTCACTTTCCTGTTTGAAAGAAAAAAAAGACGTAATATCTCTTGTCCTTGTCACCTTTTGAGATGAACATAATGGCTAATGGAAGACAGAAAAAAAGGAGAAAAAAAACAAGGGTTATTCATCTTTTTTTTTTCTTTTTTTTTCTCTCTCTCTTCATCTTTTCTTAGTTTATAGTTCGATCGTAGATAAAAATCTATTCTGATGCTCTTACTGCTTGACAAAGCAATTTTGCTCCTTTTTTTCTTCTTTCTTACAAATATTCATGTTCAGTTACTCCTTAGACTAAACGACTATTCTCTCACTCACGCACGCAAAACACGCACTCTCCTTCTCTTGTCTTCTCTTTTATGTACTCATGCATAGAAGAAACATAGAGAAATAGGAGAAAGAAAAACGAAGTTCATTAAATAAGACTGAGTAAAACAAGTAACAACAAATATTGCAGTTAGTTTCCTTATTTTCAATTTATTTACTTCAAACATAGAATGGCACCACCAAAGTCTTCCTTTCAAATTACTGCTCAAGCTGAAACTTTACTTATTTATGGAATATTTTTATTTTTGACGGGTCTGGTACAAATTGCGGTTACAATTGGACATCGATATATTATTGAAAAAAGCAATCATAATTTTGATGATATAAAGTTTATTAATCTTCTTCCAATATCATTTACTATGAATGATATTCATCTTTGGTATATTTATCCATCAGCAATATTAGTAAGTTTTTTTTATAATAAAGAAAAATGTCATATGTGACAATAGTTGAAAAATATTCAACATTAATCCTTTTCAACTTTGATTAAATCAAAAGAATTCTTCTCTCTCTCTATTATAAATCAAACAAATTAAATAGTTTTCTATTGAAAGAAAAAAACCTTAATCTGTATAAATATTTATCAACACCTGGAGTGATATGTCATTTACATTTATAGTAATAAAAATAGATTTCTTTCATTTTAATGAGAAAAACAAAAATTTATAACTGAGAAATTAATATAAATGTTTTTGTCGGAGGTTATTTTCTTTCAATTAAATAAGTATGTTCATTTTAATTAATAGACATACACACACACCTTTATTTGATATCATGTGATAAATAATTTTAGACGATTATACCGTGTATTTGTTGTGTAATGTATGCCATATTCAAAAGACCTTTTATGGTAAAATCAAATAAAGAAAATAAAAAAAAACGTATATATTACACTTCATATCATATTTAGGCGATTTTAATTTGTATGTCTTCGTTAATGAGTTTTATTTCATCATCAGTTTATATCGGTCTTCTTATTATTCATACCCTTGAATATTGGCAAACGATTTCATCGCCACGTTTTAAATCATTTCTCTCGACCACAACAACTACAACGTAAATTTTCTTTCTATTTACTCTTCGTTTTTTTGTATTCTGTTCACTTCTATATAGGCGGCTTCTCGTTCCTTTCGATGAACCAGCTACTTTTGTTAATTTAGCACTACTTATAACATTTACATTAGCACTTGTACAAGCACTTTTATCATTGATTGGTGCAGTTATTTCTTGTCTTTGGTCGCCATGTTGTATTAGTTCAGTGCCAAGTTATAAATCAATGGCAACTAATACCCACTATGCTCAAACAACACCACATCGATTTGAAGTATGTTTTAATAAAATAATTTTTGATTTTATATATAATTTATTTTTTTTCTTCTTAGAATACTCAATCGTCAACAATACGAAGTGTGAAACGTCAACAATATCCTGAAGCTCATCGATTTATTACAACAAATGAATCGTCAGATTCGGTAATAAATGGTTTTCTTCATAAAAGTCCATTAATTCGAAGTAATTATGATGATGTGTAGATCTTCTATTTATTTTGTCTTTGTAAATACTTATTGTCATTTTTACATGTTCGTCTATATTTTTTTTTGTTAAGAAAAGAGAAAAATATTTATTCATTATTCAGTACAATCGAAGAAATAATAAAATTATTAATATCTTTCTTCTAGCAAAGAACTGTGATGGAATATTGTAAAGAAGAATGAAGATTAGAAAATTAATACTTATTGTTAGATTTTACTGTCTCAGACATATTTGTTTATTGCTTATTATAGAATATTAATAAAGTAGGAAAAAAAAGAGAAAGATAAATACGTATTTATAATTTAGTTTTACAATAAAATATTTAATTTGTTTAAAAGTGCAAACGCCATTGATGTCAATGATTTACAACAACTACGATGTTAGATTTTCGAGGACAAAGTATTTTGAGACTGAATGTAAGCGTGGGTATTCTCTTCATCTTCTATATAGATACTCTCATCCACGCCCACACCCTCTTCAAGGTCATTTCGAATGATCTCGGAATCATCACTATGGACTTCCTGATCGCTTTTAACCTAGAGAAAAAATTGTTAGATCGATATTGAGTTGAATTTCCTGTTTGAATTCACGATTTAGTTGCCCGATTGAAATTATCATGAAAGTAAATACGATATCTCAAGAAAGCAATTGAGTTAAAGAAAAACAAACGCTTAACTTTTATCAGCTTGATGTAATGAATGTAATAACAATAAAATAAATGGTCTATTTCTATTTAAAAATTACTTGATAGATTTTTCATGAGCAAAAAGTACTTTTTCGAATTGTTAACATAAACAGTATTATTTAAATACTCAAACAACAGCTCAATGATCAGCAAATTTTATTTAAAAACTGTAGGTGATTTTCGTTGAAATTAATGGTTTTTTTGTTGATTTTTAACTAATAAATAAAATATATATCCAGGTTCAATGTATCAAGTTGCATCAAAAAGTCAAGAAAAAAGAACGGGTTTATTTTTGGATTGTACCGAATTTTTACATACGATCAACAACGGGAACATTCAACAATGAATTTTCCAGAGAGAGAGAGAAAGTATTTATGGATCGTTGAACCGGCAAATTAGATATTCCTTTGTTTAAGATATAGAGTGAATAAATGTTTTAGATCAAGTAAAATCCTTGTTAATCAATCAGTTTTAACAAAAGAAGCTTATTGAATTATAGCTTTTATTTTATAAATATTTACTGAATTAAATTCTTCAACTTATCGAGATTAATTTGAACAACATAAACTTAGTGTCAGTCTTGCACTTTGAAATTCTCAAGATGACATCAATCAAATCTTGAAAATACACTCGTTCGTAAAGTATTTTTTCAAGCTATTTACAAATTCATTGAGATATGACACACCTTAACGCTTCATTTATTATGCTGTTCCTATGTTCGCATGATAATAGTCTTGTAATTCTCTAAATCTAATTGATTACATTCTATTTCCTGTAAATAATTCTTCAATTTTCACAATCATGTTCTCTGAGATAATTAAGCGTATTTTTCTCTATTAATAGTTTTCTTTTATATGTTCTCTATAATAAGTATTGTAACAGATGTAAGTAATTGCAAAACGTTTACATTGTGTCTTCTTTTTCTTTCTAAATAAATTAGACATACGTCATTCGAAAATTGCAGAAAAACTATTTTTTTGAAGGTTAACAAACATATTTATTACATTCTTTATGTTTATTCTACTTAGCATTATTAAATTCTTCTTATAACAAAAAAATATCAAATATTCACCTGAAGAATACAAAAAGTTTATTTTTTATTGCACTAAGAAAGTACGTATAGAGATAATAGAGTACAATAACATATATATGTTTATAAGGAAACATAATTATTTTGCTAATTTTTTCTATATATTAATCATTCGTGATATCTGCTATTTGAGACAATGTATTTCATTGCTGAATGATGATATTTATGTCCAGTAAAGCGAAACACTCATTCACGCAACGAAGCACGTTTTAGATTGGTCGTTGTCTTTTCTTTTTTTGTTAGTTTATTCTCTTTGAAGTTTTTTTCTTCTTTTTTTTATATTATACCCAGGTATATATAGATATATATAAATTCAGACAAAAAAATACGGTATAATTCTTAGAAAATAATAATAATAATAATCATCATCATGGAAAAGTAGTAGTAACAGTAAAAACATCTTCTTTTTTCTTCTTGACTTTTCTTCAGTCTTTGTTATTATTGCATGTTCATTTAAAAAAGAATGAAAAGATTTCTCATGTCATTCTCTACTAAGATCTTATGTGTTTGATGAGAACTATAGCATAGAAAAGGACGGAAAACATAGCAATAAACGTCATTTTTCTCATTATCATATAGTCCTATTGAATTGCACATGTAGATAGAGACAAATGATCAGAATATAGAAAAAATAAAGTAGTGATAATTGCAGTGATTATCATATAAATTACTATTTACATGGTTTTCTTTATTTGCTAATCTTAGACTTGTTTAGATTTAATAAATATCGTATATATATATAGAGTGACAGAGAGAGAGAAAGCGAGAGAAAAGGATCTTGATATTGATAAAAAATTCTATTGCTTCTTTTCCCCTCTATATTTAGTTCTATATGGTACTTGAGTTAATTTATTCAACAGAATCAGATTCTAAAATTTCTTCTTCTCCTTTCTTGAGCTAGATTTACTTTTCAATTAACTATACCAATATATAATATTGATTTAGATCGATCAAAAAATTTGCAGGAGCTAAATAGGCGAGTATAAAAACAAAATATTTATAGTTAGAACGTTATTCCTTTTTTTGGATGATAATATTTGTCAGAACATCGATCAATTAGTGATAGGAATCAAACCGGATTCATAAGCCAAAATCTTTTTCAATTCTTTCTTATAAAAAAATATACATATGGAGATTAGGGGAGTATCATGGATTTCTATTCGTCTCTTTTCATCTTGATTAGATTATAATCGATTGGTAGCGATCGATCCATGATAAGTATTGAATCAAATTTATTATTAGATAGTGTTCTAGAAATAAGAAATCAATTTATAATGTCCGATATATAGATATTATTATTTCCTAACTTAGTTTTGTTTTACAGAGACATCGTTAGAACTCGCTTTTAATTTACTCATTGATATGCTACTGTCTATATACGACTTCCATAAGCATAAACAGAATGTCAGAGTCAAAAATCATTTATTCAGAACACTTCCTCCTTTTTTTTCTTCTTTTGTCGCATTTATTTGTAGTGACGTCAAATTATGCATAAACATGTTTCACATATATGCATAATAATTAGAATATAGAAAAATTAGATTTTTTTTGCTTATATTCGAATGATTGGTCTTTTTCTTTTTTTGTTTTGTTTTGTTTTGTTTATGTGTTACTTAATCGATGAAGGTTATTTATGCTTTTAAAGTTATTCTTTTTTATCTGACAAAACAAGTAGTTAGAGTTGTCATTGATGAGTTGTCTAACTACTCTAAGCTATTGCTAATGCAGAAGTAGTCATGGATAAGTAGGAGGAAAACAGTCCAGGTCTAACTACTTATATTTCTTTTTAGTTTATCACGACGTTGGCTTCCTTTTAGATAATAGATGTTATAAAAGGCACATTTTCTTCTTCGTATTTGTCAATCTTTATTATTAAAGTGAATGTTCCTTCTAAAAACAATTAATAGACTATGATATATTTATCTATATAAATATGTATGTATATGACTATTTCTTTTTATAATTATTTAATATTACGCTAGTTATTTATTTATTTATTTATTCGTAGAATATCTACTCTTGATGATACTTACGCCAGGATCAACAGCATCCAATCGTATACAGAATTATCGAACATTAGCTTATGTTATAACAACGCTTGTTTATCTTGTTATTGGTGCAGCAATATTTGATAAACTTGAGTCAACAGAAGAATCTAAAACTCATGCTAATCTAACAGCACGCATTCGTTTATTTGAACAAAAGCATAATTTAAGTCATGAAGATTTTTTAAATTTAAGTCGTACTGTACACTTTCGTATACAATTTCGTAAAAAACAGTGGAAATTTATTGGTTCATTTTATTATGCAACTGTTGTTCTAGCTTTGATTGGTTATGGTCATGCCATACCGAATACTTCTGCTGGACGTGCTGTTACAATAGCATATGGATTAATTGGTATACCAATGTGGCTTATTATGATACAAAGCGTTGGTGAAAGACTTAATTCTCTAATTAAATTTGTATTAAAACATATTAAACGAAAATTTCAACGACGCAAAGAACCGCAAATAACAGCTATGGAATTATTAACCTGTGAAGCGTTATTAACCGCTTTAACAGTTGCTACAGGATCGTATGTGTTTCATCGATATGAGAAGTGGCGCTATTTTGATGCTTTTTATTATTGTGTTTTAACACTGTAAGTACTTATATAAAAAGAGACAAAATTATATAAATATATTTCTACGGATAAGCCTTACTAGTATTTGATATTATAATTAATATTGAACACATTCGAAGGCGGTATGACCAGACCTACCGATAGGACACACTATATTTCAACAAAAATCTGCATACAAAATTACTTTTTTTTTCTTAGACAGGAGGTTAAATGTGATGTGTCATCTGCTTTACATATGATATTTTTGAGTCCATTATTCCATAACATAATGCTTCTTGTTAAAACAATTTAGACGAAAAGATTTATCACAGCCAGAATAGAAAGTTTTTATTTTTTTTGCTACCGCATGGCTTGTTTCCTTCCTTGTTCATAGCAACCAGTACAGCGCCTACGAATATTATGCGTTAGCTTGTTTGACTTGTTAATTGTGGCTTCGGGTATGGATTTAGATTTTCGGATAGTGCACCAGAGACTAAAGCTCGCAGAAGACTTTCACAAAACTATAAAATGGTTATGTTGTCTATTGCATAGTTTTCCTTGTGTATCAAATAGCTATACACAATTTACTTTATTGTCAGTTACTTCTTTGCGAGAACTTACAAATTCGAAGTACACCCTAGTAATATCATCATTCAAAAGATTCATTGGACTTAATGAGCTATTGCTGTCTTCTCTATTGACCACTTTTACTTGAATGAACTGAAGAGACACGAGACTCGATTTACTCTCTAATAGTCAGACAAAAAGAGAATGGAAGAAAAAGGTTAGTAAGTTCATTTATTAGAAGTGTACTATTTATGAAAATGAATATCTGAATCGCCTCGAATATGTTAAGTCAATAGTATTCTTCCTAATTTTAACTAAATAATTCATAAAAAAAATTTAACTTAATCTGAACGGTTATCTCCAGAAATAATAATTTCATGCATACTGCTATATATTTTAAATAAATGTATCAACTCTCACTCTCCTCTCACATTTTATGAGAATTAAGCGTTTGTTTTTGTAAATAATTTATTCTAAAATCAATATTAAAATTATTTTATTTTATTCTTTTAGAACAACGATTGGTATGTTTCTATGATTTTCTTATAATTGTTTTTTATTTTTTTTAATTTCATAGGTTTTGGAGATTTAGTTCCAATGCAAAAACATGATTATGGAAGTGTTGATTGGTTATATATATTATTTTGTATAATGTTTATATTAACTGGTTTAACAATAGTTGCATCTAGTGGTAATTTGTTGATTTTACGTTTCGTTGAAACAAATACAAAACGTTCTCAACATGAACGATTTGAAATGGAAGAACGTCGTCGACAACAAGTTCGCGTTATTGGTGATGTGATTTCATCAAATGGTCGTTTTATAACATTAGATGATGAAGAAAATACACCACCATCATTAATTACTCCTATCGGTTTACAACGTATAACTATGGGTAATAGTTCAAGTAATTTATCTCTCTGTTCTTGTCGTGGTCCACCATCACTATCATTTTGTATACCAATATTATGTAAAAAGAAATTTAAACGTAAACAACAACCGACATTAAATAATTCTAAGCAACCATTAATTAAATCTCAAATGGCTAGTCGACGAACATTACGACAAGAAATTCTCGATGCATTACAAACAAAGAATGAACCTGATGAAAATATGTCTTTACAAAGATCATATCTTTATTTAGATAAAATGCAACAAAGAAATTCAATATAATAAGAAAGAAAAGTTCTTATCATTTTGTATAAATATATATTTTTATTTTAAATTTAAAATCATTCCAATAGAATTTGTGAAGTAAAATTTCCTCATAATATAATTTTTTTTCTTTCTATTCATAATAATTCATTTTTACACTTACAAGATTTGTTTTTTGCACTCATTAATAATTATCACTGTCAGACGTAGATGAAAATCTATTTCAGGTCATGCTGTTTGATAGGCTATAAGATAGGAAATGAAAGTATTTAATGAATATAAGTATCTCAAAATACTGACATCATCATAGAAATTTATTCTAAATTTAATCTCATGTTGGAAATAAGACGGTAATTTAGTAATATAATGAATGATAATTGAAGTGAGATAAACGATATTCTCACGTGAGTATTTTTTTTCTCAAAAACATGACTGATTATCAAATCTTTCCTAATTACAAATAATCAGACTGATATTTTCTGCATCTTTTAGAGATTCTGATAACCACGTTTTCGTAGATTATAAATCAATATTGAATTTACACCACTAGAAATAGTAACACTATTTTTGTTATAAAATTGAAAGAAAGGTTATCAAAACCTTTTAAAATTTTTCAATTAAGGAATTTTACGCAGATTTTTTTGTCAAATTGTAAATTTATTGAAAATAAAAATAATTATAGAGCTACGGAAGAAAATCGAGAGTAGCCTTTTAGTTTAGTCTCAATATTATTTGTTTTTTTTGAATTTTGTACTTAAAGTAATTATCAATATATTACTCTTTAACATCAAGTCTAACGAGCAATATTTTAGTATATAGACAACAGTCGTTTCCTCTATTGATCCTTTTCTATTATGAAATTTCTTTCAATTAAATCTTCTCATCATGAACCGACACGCATGTCCTATAGACATTTGTAAGACAATATTTTTGCATTTCTTATGTTTTTGTTCCAAAGTTTAAATATTTTTAGAAAACAAAATTGTCCTTCAATTAAAAACATTATCTAAAAAAAGAATTCTTGTTCAGGAAAAAAAAAATCCTCGATTCTTCATTAAAATAAATTATTTATTATTAGTTCATGAGAAAAACAAATTAAATAATTCTTCGCTCTTTTTTTCTTCATTAAATATACCCGTAAGAGAACAAAAAAACATTTTTTGTACATGAAATATATGATAGATGCAAAATAATTAAACAAGCAAAAAAGATTAATAGAGAGAGAGTAAAATGTACAATTTTTCGGACGGAGTTCTATTTAACAAAATGCTTGTTTTATTGTCCTTTTTTTTGATTTTAAGTAAAATGTTGTGATGATAATGTTTGCTGACTATCAAGAGATGGTAAATTATCGAATGTAGTTAGTGAATTTCTCATCATTTGTGTTAATTCTTCAAAATCTGTGTTGCTTGTGGAACTAGTTGTCACAGTATTATTTTCAACACCACTTCCTGATGATGAAAAATCTTCTTCAACACCTTCATCTTCATTAGATGAACGTCGGCGATAATTACTGTCATGTATCCATCTATCATCATAATATCTTCCTATTTCAGTTATTTCACATCGATTTGCTTGTTCAGGATCTAAAAGAATTAGAAAAAAGAATTTATATATAGAACAAAAAACTTTTTGCATTTTTATTACCTAGCATTTTTTTAAATAATCTCATTAAACGACCAGTAAATCTATACCATTGTGATGGTAATTTACAACGACGTTGCACTTGATGGCGTCGATGCCAATTTAAATATTCATTATAATATACATCTGATTCTTGCGCATGTTCCCAAGGAAAATTACCTTAATTATAATTTATTGTTTAATGAAATATTATTTTATCTTTTATGTACCTGTTAAACAACAAAAAAGTAATACACCAAATGCCCAGACATCCATCGTAGTTGACACAAGTATATCATTATTAAGTGCATTACATACTTCTGGAGGTGAATATGGTATACTTCCAATTAAACGTCGCACATATGAACCACATTTTCTTGTCATACCAAAATCAATTAATTTGACTTTATGAAAATCAGCATCAAATATCATAACATTTTCTGGTTTAACATCACGATGAACCTATATATGAATAAATAAAAGTTTTACTAAATCAGAAATATTATTGTTTTAATTGTTTTAGAATATTTCAAATAACATATCTCGATTTAATAAAGAGCAATAAGAAAAGAGAAAAGATAAAAATAACTTTTTCTTATGAAATATCATTTACACTTGAACTACACAAATTAACCTACCAATCCTTTGTCATGCATAAATTCTAATGCTGATGCAACTTGTTTCATTATTGTTTTAACTGCTTTTTCAGGTAATCCACGTTGTGGTGGTATAGATTCAAATAAATCTCCTAATGGTGCATATTCTTGTACAATAACAAATGCATCGGTTGTTTGATAACATCGATCTTCATATGTACTAATTATTGAACGATGTGGAGATAATAATAGTGAATAATTATATTCACGCTGAAAATCACGATATTTTGTTGTTGATTTTGGTAATATTTTTAATGCACAACGTTGTTGTAAATCGCGATCAAATGCTAATAGAACACGTCCATATGTGCCAGAACCAAGTTCACGTACACGTCGAAAACGTTCATTTATATCCGCTAATAATGGTAATAAATCGTTATTTGATTCCATGCTCTCAAATTATGTTATAATCTAAAATACATTCAATAGATAATCACTTCTTCCTTAAATATTATCAGACGTGTAAGATAAATGATAAAAATAGAAATTTTCTTATATTTGATCGAAAATGTAGAATATCAAATTTTCTTAATCTAGTATGTGTAATATAAAAGTTTTATCTATTACTAATTATGTATAGGAAAAGAGAAACGATAAGAAAACTATAGTTCGGAGATTCGAATGATAGCTAGAGGATAAAAACTAAATGAAAAAAATAATGTTTATATCAATTTATTTCCTTTTCTTGTTGTTATAACTCTTTAATAGCGGCAGAAAAAAAGGAGAATTTTTTTTCAATATAAAAAGAGATGAGAATGCAACGTGAACGTTAACCATATTCTTATATTTGTCTCAAGTTGTTATATTCGCTCAATTTATTTTAGTAATGTAATGCGATAGATTATTGGATCTAGATGCATTATATTTACGATAAAAATACTCACTCATTTTGCTCTAGTGCATGATGACGACAGAGTATAAAGAATGAGACGACGAAGAGAAAGCTTGAAGAATGTTCAAGTGTAAGAAAACGAGCAAAATAACAAGAAACGAGAGGAAAAAATTGTTAGTAATTTTCTTTTTCTTCTTCGTTTTCTTCTTTTTCTTTCCCACATCTCCGTCTTTGTCTAGTTCTGTTGAAGACGTTCAACTATTATAGTTTCAGCACATGCACACATCCTAACATTATTCATCCTTTCGGCGTGCATAGTGCAGTATGAATATGCCTATCACTATTATCGTTCTTCAGTTTGATTTCTTTCTTTGAGCTTTATCACTGTCTCAACATAGATATCTTTACTTTAAAACTACTACATCTTCCTTGTGATTTCAATAATAAAAATAAAGACAAGAGAACAATATTAATCACAAATTTTTTTTTAATATATCAAGCTAATTCGTATCGGTCTAATATTAATTATTTTTCTCATATTTGTATAATGTAAAACTACGATAAGAAAAGTAGATTGAATAGATTTCTAAAGTTTTATTTGTTTTACAGTAATAAATCAATGAATTATATCTCTTTGTTTAAAACTAATAATTTGCTCGTTTTATATGAAAAAAAGAAGAAAAGTTTAGATATTTATAAGTAACATTCACATAATCTATATATATATGATAAGCAGTATGAGCCGTATATATATAAAAAGAAAAAATGTTACAACTCAAATAGTATAAAATACAATTCTATACTTGGATTGAAGCTGAACCAAATTGTGGAATAGACAAGTCTCGTTATACAATATACTATGACAGGATCTGACAAGTTTTGACATATGAAGTACTTTTTATATTTATGATTTACAGTTGCTCCCAGTCGTCTATATAAATTAGTAGACATAGACAATGACAGAAACAGTCTACTATAGAAATTTTTATTAATGAAAACAAGTCTTCATTTTTCTATTAATCTTTTAAAAAAGTGCATCATTCATTATTATTATTTCGTTGAGTATTTAACATACTTTCTACACAATCCAATGTAAATGAGACCTATGACGTGCATATTGTAATATAACGATAGGTAAGAAACTAGAGAAGTAATGCGCAGAAAAGGTATTAAATGTCAGGTTCATATATTTTATACTCGTATAATATTTTTTTTATAGACTTTAGTTATAAATGATAAACACATAACGAAATTTTGTTACATATAAAATTAAAGAAAATCTTGCAGAAATATTTCATAATGAAAACGACTTATTACAAACGATCTATAACCATGAGCATTTGAAAATATGAAACTCATTAAAGCTACTTTTCAAGGAAATGTCAGCCCGGGTAGCTCAGTCGGTAGAGCGTGTGGCTTTTAACCACAATGT